GCTGCTCCTGTGCCTGCTGTGGGTGAGGGCACCACAGGTGGGTAGAGGCTACAGGAAGACAGGAGCCCCTCGGAGCTGTATGCACAGTGGGGCCGCCTGGAGCAACAGGCAGAGGCCAGGTGAGGGGGCAGGAGTGGGGAGGTCACCATCGCAGGGAGCGCACCACTGGCCGCCTGGTCATGGTCCCCAGGTGGAGGCTCCTGGAGCAGCTTGTCCTGGCAGCGCAGAGCTTTGAAGTGGCCCACCATGCTCTCCTGGCTGTGCCGTGGCAGGCAGCCGGAGCCTGAGGGCTAGGAGGGGCCGGCCCGGGGCTCCTCAGCACATGTCCCCAGCACACATGTGCCCCAGCACGCGTCTGCAGCATGTTCGTGGTGGGGCTGTGGCATGAACCCCTCAGCCTGGCTGGTCGGCCCCCCAAGGAGTCCTGAGTGCTCTCAGAAAAGCTCCCCCACAGCCCCTCCCCCGCCATTCCTTGGGGTGCCATCCTGGTGCGGATGTCTGTGATGTTGCCCCAGGGGACGTGTCCCAGGCCCCCAGTTCAAGGCCCCCTCCCGATGCCCGTGTCCCCACCCCGGCCCCTGACCCCTTTCCCTTGCCCCTGGTTCAACAGGGGGTGAAGCTCAGCTGGTGGGGCAGCCGCAGGGGCTCCAGGACTAGGTGAGGCTGGCCAGGGATGGCACTGCCTGTGCTCAGTGGGAGCAGCTGCATGCCCCGAGGTCTGCTGAGCCGTCACCCCAGCACGCCTGACGGCCCAGCTCGCGCTGGCGGAAGCAGCCTCTGAACGTTGAGGACTCACGAACCAGGAGCGGGTATTTGCACCCACCTGGCCAACCCCAGAGGAAGGGTTTCCACCTGCCTGTGCCTTTGGGGAGGCTGCAGTTCACAGCCCCGAGGAGCAGGGATGGCTAGGAGTGCCCGAGGGCTTCCAATCCCCAGGCCACACTGCCCAGGACCACACTAGCTTTCCCCCGGCTGAGGGCCCGGCTGGCTAGCATGGCATGGGGGGCAGAGGCAGCTGCCCACCCAGCGGTGGCCCCAGAACAGCACCCTCTTACCAGGTAGCCCCAGGCCTGCTGGGTCAGGCTCTGGAGGGTGCAGGGGCCAAATGTGGAGGGTTCCAGGCCCAAAGCTGGCAGTCAGGTGGCACCGTCTCTCCCCAGCTGTGCTTTAGGCAGAGGAGGACTCCGGGGGAGCCCTGGTCAGAGCCTCAGCAGCCGGACACGGGGCTGAAGGCCACACAGGAGCCAGGCCAGCAAACCTGGTGGGGCCTGGTGGGGCTGGAGGAGGGGCTTTGCCAGAGGGCTGCTGGGCCCCAGTCTTACAGGTGCCTGGGAGGATTGAAGGAGGGAGGAGGTCACCCCAGAGTCCCTGAGGAGAGGAGAGGTGACCACGGGCAGGCTGGACAACGTGGGCCTCTGGGCTGGAGCTGCTGGGAGGGGCCGAGCAGAGGACACACGCTGTTTTGGGAAAAGAGAGTACAGCGGTGGGGGGCGGGGGGAAGGGAGGCAGGGGCAGGCGGGGTCGGGCGGGGCGTTCTGGTGCCGATCCGTGGCTCGGCTCTCACCCTTCTGACAACCTGGAGCCCCCTGCGTGGCCGCGTGGCTCTCCCATGGGCTCAGAGCTGGAGGTACGGGCGGCCTTGGGGCCCCCAAAGGTGGGTCTAGCCAGCCCAGGGGCAGCGCCTCTCGGAACAGCACTGCCGGCCTCTCAACTGTGTTGGGGTGGGGCCCGGCGGGCCCAGGCACCTGGCCATGACTTCTACCTATTCTAGCAAGTGGAATTCCCAGTTAAGATCGTGGCATCGCTGTGTGTGACCTCCATGTACGTGGCGATGGGAAAGCAGATACATTTGGAGCAAGACAGGAAAAAAATGTGCCTCTGAGGTGAGGTTGGAGCCTCCTGTCCTGTGCTCAATGCAAGCTCAAGGCCCAGAGTGGGCTCTGCCCGGGCTCGGCCTTCCTCTCCCCTCTTCCTCCTCCCTCCCTCCCCCTCCTCCTCCCCCGCTTTCTATAAAATGGGGGAAGCTGGGCTCGCAGGAGGCAGTCTCAGGCTTTGCCTCCCCCCGGACCCTGCAGCCCCTCTGCCCTTGCTCTCCCTGGCTTATTTCCCTGGCTTGGGGACTGTTTGGATTTCCTGGGGCTTCCGTAATCAACTATCCCCAATGGGGCGGCTCTGACAACAGTAACGTGTGGACCCGAAGCTCTCCAGGCCGAAGTCCATTCTCCTCCTGCAGCAAGGCCTGACTCCAGGCCCCGTGGCGCCTTCCCTGTGCGTCTTCACACCGTTTCCTCTCTGCGGTCTGCGTTTGTGTCCAAGCCCCTGTCTGAAAGCACAGCCCCTCCAGCGTGACCTTCTCCAAGTCACCGTATCCGCAGCGACCCTGCTTCCAAATAAGGTCCCGTTCCCGAGGGATCTGGGGTCAGGCCTTCCATGTGGGAATTTGGGGTGCAGTTCAAGCCCCAGTCGGGAGGAACGCTCTGGCCCTTCCTCTCCTGGCCCTGACTGAGCACACGGGGCCCTGGCAGCAGAGGCTGTACTCGCTTCAGCCGGCCTCCGAAGCCTGGGCAGCCAGGGCCATCACCCTTGCTGGCGGGGGACAGGGGGTGAGTGCGAGGCACAGCAAGGAGGGTGTAGAGAAAGAGAATTCGGGATGTGGGGGGTTCTCAGGGGGACAGAGGCAGCAGGGCTCTGATACCCACCTCAGCCCTTCCCCTGCCCTGGAGGCAGGTGTGTCACCAGGCTCCTCTGACGGCAGGTGTCCCCTGAGAGCCATTGAGAGGAAGGCCTCCCACCCCCTGTACCCCAGCCTGTGGTTGGAGCTTTGGGTTCCCATGTCCAGGCCCTTGGTGGAGAGGTCAGCCTACGGCTCAGCCCTGTCCCACCCACTCCTGCCAGGCCAGCCGTCCTGCCTGCATCTGCCCTGTCTCCTCTCTGGGCCGTGTGCCCTGGAGGGAACACTAGAGGGGGACTCCCTGCTCCCAGCTGCTTTATGGAGCAGTGGCGGGCACTCCTGTTCCTGCTAGGCCAGGCCAGGACCCGAGGGACCAATGGAGATCCTGGCCAGAGGCTCTAGCCAGCATAGTGCCTCCACGGACCAGCCCAGGGGCAGCGTGGGCACTGCTCTTGGGGCTCTGCCCTTTGAGGGCCTCCCTGACCTGTAGGGGGAAGCTGGGTGCCCGTACCAGGTAGAACTGGGCAGTACTGGGTATTGGGGCCATCTCGCTCACCTCCTGACACCCTCCCTGACGCCCCTCCCTGCTGTGTAGGCGCTGTAGGCCCAGGTCTGGGGGCTGGAGGAGTGACCTGTGGCCCCTGGGGAGGTGGTAGCTCCCAGAAGCCCTGACCCGGGCCCAGGGAGCTGAAGAGTAAGGCAGGCACCCAGGATTTCCCCCCGAAGGTGTCCCCAGAGGTCGCTGGACTGGAGGACTCCACTGGGCAGGGGATCTGGAGTCAAAGGAAGTCAGAGCCAAGGAAGAGAAGCGGGGGACAGATGCCAATGGGTGCATCGAGCAGGGCCAGCTCCATGCTGCCTGCCTCCACGGGAGGGGTGGGAGTGGCAGGCATGTGGCCCATCCCTGGGCACTTGAGCAGGCTCGGCCTTGCCAGCCTCACGCCCCGTTCTTGCAGCGAGGGCTGGCATACACCCAGGTTCTGCGGCCTGGCAGGGACGTGGCCTGCAATGGCTCAGCTGAGGGAAGAAGTGGCTCTGGGTGCACTCCAAGCCACAGGCCACCGCCAGACCCACCACGCTTTCCAACAAGACTGCACAGTGTCCAGGCATCCACTGAGCAGGCCTGGGGTTGGATGCGGTTGGAGTGTCTGTGCCTTGGGGGAATGTGGGCCCGTCCAGAGCTCTGCAGAGGTCAGGGCTCCCAGCAGCCGGCAACAGCCACGGTGCATGGCCCGTGTGGCAGATGTGGACAGGGTCCAGGCAGCCTGGGTGAGCAGGTGTGAGTGTGGGCCTGACGGCTGGGTGAGGGCAGAGCCAGGGCAGTGGCCCGAACACCCTCACCCCTGAAGGCCTGACCCCTCCCTCCCGTGCCTGCGTGGGCATCTATAAGTGCCCTCATAGTGTGCATCGTAGGTGACTAGGTGGCTCTAGGTGAGTTTCTGGTCAAGAATGACCCAGGTAGAGGTGAGGGCTGGGGCTTGCGGGAAGGGGACACTTGTGGGGGGTGAGGAGCACCTGAGCCCTTAGGACCTCCAGGACTAGTGGACAGTGGAGAAGGAGCCCTGGGGACACAGGAGGAGGGGCCCTGGGGACACAGGAGGAGGGGCCCTGGGGACACAGGAGGAGGGGTCTTGGGCCCTGTCCTTCCCTGGCCCTGCCCACCTGGGATCTCAGGGCAGCCAAGGAGAGGGCCCAACAGAAGATCCATGGAAGATTCCCCTTAAGGCTGAGGCTGCCCCCAGGCCAGCCCTCGAGGCTGTGAGCCTCCGTGCCCAGCATCTCCAGCTGGCCCCAGCTTTGGAACGTGGGTGCCAGAATGGGCTTCAGAGAGAGGGCCAGGTACTCCCAGGGTGACAGGGGGCATTCTCTGAGCCGGATGGAGGGGGTGAGGCCTGGCCCTGCTCCCACACAGGACACAGAGACCTCAGCTCTTAAAACCTCCTAGGGGAAGAGGGGTCCGCCAAGGAGAGTCTTGAAAACCCCGGACCCAGCAGACACAGGACGCCAAGCAGTGCTCCAGGGGGCTGAGCAGACAAGAGGGGCGTCGGGGCTGGAGGCAGCGACACCAGCCGCATGGCAAGCAAGTGGCCTGTGAGGAGGGCAGCCGCTGCTCTGGCCGGTCCGCGCTTCGCTCCAAACGCCTTTCCTTAAAGAAAAAAAAAAAAAAAGCTGTTCCGAAGAGCGCAGGACGCCCCCACCCCCCACGCCCCGCCCGCGGCGCCTTCCTTGGCGGTGACTACCTGCTGGGGCGGGGACAGGAGAGGGTCCTGGCTGCCTGCCCCGCCCCGCGTCCGGACCCCACCTGGCCGCCGCCCTCGACGGGGCGGGGCCTGCGCGGCTTGAAATGCGGGCGGCGCGAGCGCGCGGGACACTGCGGACGCCACGGCACGGGCAGGTGCGGCAGGTGCGGCAGGTGCGGCAGGTGCGGCAGGTGCGGCCGGGCGCGGGGGGACCCGGACTCTTGCGGGAGCCGCTCGCCGAGGCCAGGGTGAGGCGCGGCTTGGGCTCCAGGGCCGCAGGTGTCCCGCCTGGGGCAGTTTGAGCTCGGAGGGCCGAGGTGGCCCCTCTCCGAGTCCCGGGCGCCCGCCCCGACCGTCACGGGAGAGGCGGCCACGGGTGGGGGTCTCAGGGGCCGGGCGGTTTCCGGCAGCAAGGGCTGGGCGGGGCGGGCTCTGCGGGGGGCAGGGCTGGGCGGCAGATGGAGGGGGCGGCGTCGCTCACCCGGGGGAGCTGCCTGCGTTGGGTGAGCCGGTGAGCGGTCCCCGGGCGGCCCCTGCGGGAGGCAGAGGCGGGAAGGGTCCTGCCCGTCGCTTGGACCCAGGGCTCTGCGTCCCTGCTCCTCGCCGCGCTGCGCTGTACCAAGCTGGTTAGCGGGGCCTGATCTCCGACTGTGGTGCAGGATGCAGGCGGGTGGTGTCTTCCCAAAAGGGCACATACCCGGGCAGAGGCCAAGTCTGCCGCCTCCTGTGTGGGCCCAGGCAGGGTCTGTCCTGACCCGGCTCAGGCAGGCAGCTGCAGCCGCCCCGACCCGTGTCCCAGGCCGCAGCGAGGACCCGCTGTGCAGTCTGGTGACAGGCAGTGACCTCTCCCAAGAGATGCAGACCCACCTTCCTCGGGAATGGCCCTCCACCACTGGTGCCTGGGGGCCCCCTGAGGTGGGGAATCCGCAGGGGGGGGCCTTTTGTGCCTCAGACTCTGGGGAAATCTGCTCAGCCTCCTCCCCATGGTCACCTGGGCAGCAGCCACCTCCTCCCGATGCCCCCACACTCGAAGCTGCCCTCCCACCCCCGTCTGGCTGCAGACTCTCCAACCCACCTGCCCTCCCCAGTCCCCACATGGAGTCAGGCGCCCTCTCCTGGGCCTTCTTCCTGCCCAGGCTCGGAAGGGGCAGGGCCCTGGGAAGGGGCAGGGCCCAGGAGGGCTCATACCAGGCCCAAGGTCACCGAGGAAGAGACAGGGAGTGGCGCAGGCAGCCACAGGCCGCATCTCACACACGGTGCGGGCGTGCACTGGCTGGCACACACACATGCAGGGCACGCCTGCCCCCGACTCCCTGCTCCAAGCACCCAGTCTCCAGCCTTCCTCCCTGAATCTCCTCTTTGTTTGGGGAACTGGAGCCGCTGGCCTAGCTTCTTCGGCCCACACAGCACGTGGCCGGTCTGGGCTGGCTGCCCGAGCCCAGGTCGAAGGCTGGTCAAGATGCTGTCCCCACCCTCCCCAACCCCCCACCCCATCCCTGCCAAACTCAACACGCATTTTGGACTTGGCTGCCACCCACCTCCGCGACACAGGCTATGGAGGCTCCCGTCTCCAGTAATAGGATTCTGCTCCATCTTTATTCACCCATTAAATCTGAGACCTCCTCCCACCTCCCAGTGGGCACCGCCCCTCCCCCTTGCTGGGAAGCCAGGTGCTCCTCTCATCTCCTCACCTAGGGGAGGCAGGCTGGGTTCCTGGAAGCAGTCTGATGCAGGGGTCACAAGGGAGTTGTCTCAGGATGGCCTCAGGAAGGGAAGGGAGGAGGAAGCAGGGTGGATAAAGGAGAAGCTGGCCCAACCCACCATCTCGTGCACCCCCTGAGAAGCAGAGAAGGTCACCCCAGACAGGCTGTGCCCTTGAACCCGGCCTCTTCCTGGGGAAGTACAGAAAGAAAGTTCTCAGTGAGGATCTGGCCCCTGGGGCCACCTCCCTGTACTCCAGGCCGGATGCCCTCCACCCGGGCGTGCCTGCTGGCTCAGGACTTGTCAGGTGTGACAAGATCCTGTTCTGTGAGGGTCCCCTCTAGGGCTGGGGGTGATGTTTCATTGACTGTGAGAACCAGGCAGGACCTGGGTGCCCAGACCAGGTGCCCGAGCACTGCCTGCCCCTCTCCGCAGTGCCTCCTTCTGCTGCCCAGGCCTGCCCCCTGCCAGATGGGCGCCTCCTCCTGGCTTGCTCCTGGGACATGACAGTCTGGAGTGGCCTGGGAGCAGCATAGCCTTTGACTCAGTGACACTAGCTGTGTCCCCTGGAAGAAGTGTTCCCCTCCAGGGACCAGGACAGCTGAGCCCACCCACCACAGAGCTATGGAGCTGAGGAGCCCAAGTGCCATCATGTCCATCATGGGTCAGAGGGAGAGGGTGGGTGGGCCACTGTGGCCACCAGGCCTTGGTTCCCAGAGACCCCTGTGGCCCACCTCCTGGGACACACGCATGGGACACCAGGTTTTGGAGTGGTATAGCTGGCTTCCTGGGGAATGGTGCTCCAGCCTGCAAGATGTCACTGGGGAGCTGGCACTCTAGCTGTGCCTTCCAGAAGTCATTCGGAACAGCAGATTCTGGCTGGGGCAGTTTGTGGTGTCACCAGCGGGTCCGCGGCCAGTTGCACCATGATGATTCGCACCCAGGCATCCCTGTGGTGCACCGGCCAGCTGCCCAGATGTCTGTAGCCTCTGGGAGCTTTCTCCAATGCTGGCCGTTTAACAGCCGCCTGCTCCGTGGTTCTCTGCATCCTCCACATCTTCTCAGCCACCTGACACTGCATCCTGAGCACGGCCCCTCAGGACAGCTGAGCTGCAGCACTGCTCCCTGGAGCCCTGGCTCTCTGCACGTGGCCAGTGGGGTGGTGGTGAGCCCTCTGGCCCTGGCTCTGTGTCTGAGGCTCCGATCAGCCCAGCAGCAGCAGGATGCCCTGAGGAGCCCCAGGACCAGTATCTGCAGATGGGAGGAGAGGGGGCTAGAGTTTTGCTGTGGAGACTAAGTGGGCCACAGTTTTAACAGGCAGCCCTGAGGAGGGGCATCGATAAGCCTTGACAGCCCTTGGAGTTGCCCCAGGAGTGTGCCCTTCGTGGGACCAGATGTGGGGAAAGGGGACGGGAAGGACTCAGCGCTTTCTAGGGTTAGGCTCTGCACATTCAGAGGACGAGCAGCATGGGGTGCCAGTAAGACCTCCAGGAGGCAGCTGGACCCAGGACAGGCTGGGCTCTTGCTGCAGATTTGGGAGGCTGAGGGTAGGTGGGAGGAGGTCTCAGATCTAATGGGTGAATGAAGATGGAGCAGAATCCTGTTACTGGAGAGCGGAGCCTCCGTAGCCTGGGCCACGGAGAAGGGTGGCAGCCAAGTCCAAAATGCACGTGTTGCGTTTGGTAGCCGCGGAGGGCAGCTGCCTCAAGAGCTGTGGAGAGTGGGGGTCGGGCGCAAACGTGGGGTCCGGCCCTTCTCCCGAGACCCCTTGTAGAGGTAGGGAAGGGTGGGCATGGACAGGCTGCTGAACAGAGGGAGGCTCCAGCCGGAATGAGGGTGAGAACCAAGAGGGGGTCTGGTGCCTGTGGTGCTGAGAAAATGGGGAGCAGACCCTACTCCTGGGTGGGTGGGCACAGGGGCGCAGAACACTGCAGGGGCTTGAAGAGCAGGAACTTGCTGTCACGCCTCTGGAGGCCAGAAGCCAGCAGGCGAGGAGTGGGCAGGGTCGTGCTCCCTCCGGAGCTGGAGGGAAGGATCCTTCCTGCCGCTTCCAGCTTCTGGGGCCACGGGCGTCCTGGGAATTCCTTGCTTGTAGATCCAGTCTCTGCCTCTGTCTTCTCCCTGTGTGCGTGACTTCTTTTTTTTCTTTTTTAAATGTTTTCATTTTTTTGAGACGGGGTCTCACTCTGTCGCCCCAGGCTGGAGTGCAGTGGTGCAGTCTCAGCTGAAACCCCCGCCTCCCGGGTTCAAACGATTCTCCTGCCTCATCCTCCCAAGTAGCTGGGATTACAAGCACCTGCCACCACACTAGGCTAATTTTTGTATTTTTGGTAGAGACAGGATTTCACCATGTTGGTCAGGCTAGTCTCTGCCTCCTGACCTCAGGCGATCTACCCACCTTGGCCTCACAAAGTCCTAGGATGACAGTTGTGAGCCACTGCACCTGGCTGTTGTCTGTCTTCTTACAAGGACACTAGTTACATTGGGTAAGAGCCAGCCTAGCCCGGTATGGCCGCACCTTGACGGCATGACATCTGCAAAGATCCTGTTTCCAAATAAGGTCACATTCTCAGGGACTGTAGATTAGGACTTACACATACCTTTTTAGGGCACACAGTCCAACCTGGTGCAGAAGGGGATGGGCCTGGGTGGAGGCGGCTGACGTGCAGGAGCGGTAGGGATGCAGGTGAGGCACCTGCGCCCTGCTCAGCCAGTCGCACAGCTGTGGATGGAAAGGGTCAGCACGGGGCATGCTGGGGCTGCAGCCGGAGGACCGGGGCCCATCGGGGAGAGAGCCTTGCCTGGCCTGCACACGGCTCCTCGCAGGACTACCACGTGGCTGCGGCCCCCAGGGCAGGGTGTGGGCTCAGAGGGGCAACAGCCCAGAGGCCGCAGTGCTGGGGCATGTGAGATCTAGCACAGGCAGAGGAGGGTGCGGGGCCCGGCTGGGTTCAGAGGGCAGGATTCGCGCTGGAGCCTGGTACATGGCTGCGGAGGGAGGGCGGAGCCAGCAGGAGGTGGCAGAGGCTTCTCTGGAGTGACAGGTCCAGGTGGGGTGGGAGGTTTCAAGAAGTCGCTGGAGCTAGGGTGGGGCAGAGCCTTTGGAGAACAAAAGAGAGGAGCCCGGAGGTGGGAAGATTCCCCGGCTGAGTGGTGGGCCCTGACGGTGGAGCCACAGCCCCATGGAGTAGGGCTGGGCCCCTCAGGCAGGGTTGGGGACCGGGGTGCCCAGGCATGACCCGAGGGCACAGGGCCTGGGGTGGAGGCCTGCAGGAGGGACAGCCCTGGAGTCCCGAGAGGCTCCTGGCAGCCAGCCTGGGTCCCTGCGCTCTGGTTCTCTGTGCCCGCCCTGTCCCTCTGAGCCTGCACTTCTGTGGTACTCCTGATGGAGCGCTCCCAGGCAGACTCAGCTCCTCGGGGACTCTCTGGCTGCACTCTGTGGGTGGAGCTCGGCCCGGATAGCATGGGATTGGCCCCGCGACCACATCTTCCCTCGTGCCCACCAGGCCACGCAGGGTCCCTGACTGAGCCTTTCTGTCCCCTGCAGGACAGAGGTGGACCTCAGCAGGCTCTGCATAACCAGCTATATGTGATGAGCAGCTTTCACCTCCCGGGCACCAACAGCACGGAGCAGGCCAGCGTCCCCAGAGCCATGGCAGCCACGCTGGGAGCCGGCACAGCCCCCAGGGCCCAGGCCAGGAGCATAGCTGGGGTGTATGTGGAGGCCTCGGGCCAGGCCCAGGGCGTCTACACTGCCATGGAGCAGGGTCTTCTGCCCGCTGGGCTTGGGCTGGCTCTGCTAGAGGCCCAGGCAGCCACTGGGGGCCTGGTGGATCCTGCCCAGGGCCAGCTGCTCCCTGTGTCTGAGGCCCTGAAGCAGCGCCTGGTGGGGCTGGAGCTGAAGGAGAAGCTGCTGGCCGCTGAGCGTGCTGCTACAGGCTACCCTGATCCCTACGGGGGTGAGAAGCTGCCCCTGTTTCAGGCCATCGGGAAGGAGGTTGTGGACAGGGCCCTGGGCCAGAGCTGGCTGGAGGCCCAGCTGGCCACTGGTGGCCTGGTGGACCCTGCCCATGGCGTACGTGTGGCCCCTGAGCAAGCCTGCCAGCAGGGCCTCCTGGACCAGGAGACGTGGCACAAGCTGTCAGAGCTTGAGCCTGGCACAGGCATCCTGCACTTCCTCGACCCCAACACGCTGGAGCGGCTGACGTACCACCAGCTGCTGGCAAGGTGTGTACGGGCCCCCGGCTCGGGGCTGGCCTTGCTGCCTCTCAAGATCACCTTCCGCTCTGTGGGCGGGGCCGTGAGTGCAGCCGAGCTGCTGGAGGTGGGCATCCTGGATGAGGAGGCTGTGCAGGGTCTGCAGGAGGGCAGGCTGGCTGCAGCGGACGTGAGCGCACGGGCCGAGGTGCGGCGCTACCTGGAGGGTACCGGCAGCGTGGCCGGGGTCGTCCTGCTGCCCGAAGGCCACAAGAAGAGCTTCTTCCAGGCTGCCGCCGAGCACCTGCTCCCGATGGGCACCGCGCTGCCACTCCTAGAGGCCCAGGCCGCCACCCACACCCTAGTGGACCCCACCACAGGCCAGCGGCTGTGGGTGGATGAGGCAGTCAGGGCAGGCCTGGTCGGCCCAGAGCTCTACGAGCAGCTCCTGGTGGCTGAGCAGGCTGTGACAGGGTACCACGACCCCTTCAGTGGCTCCCAAATCCCCCTCTTCCAGGCCATGAAGAAGGGGCTGGTGGACAGCCCACTGGCGCTGCGGCTCCTGGATGCCCAGCTGACCACGGGAGGGCTGGTCTGTCCAGTGCGCAGGCTCCGGCTGCCGCTGGAGGCCGCTCTGCAGTACGGCTGCCTGGATGAAGACACTCAGCAACAGCTCTCGGGAGCCGGTGGCTTCTCAGACCCCGGCACACATGGCGGCCTGCGCTATGAGCAGCTGCTGACCCGCTGTGTCACCGACCCCGACACTGGTCTTGCTTTCCTGCCGCTCTCCGGGGGGCCCAGGGAACGGGAGCCCCAGGGACCCCCATTCATCACACACAGTACTCGGCAGGCCCTGAGTTCAGCCACAACCACCATCTCCGTGGGGAAGTTCCGGGGCCGGCCCGTGTCCCTCTGGGAGCTGCTCTTCTCTGAGGCCATCTCTGCAGAGCGGAGGGCGATGCTGGCCCAGCAGCACCAGGAAGGGACCCTCTCTGTGGAGGAGCTGGCTGCTGAGCTGAGTGCCACCCTCGAGCAGGCTGCAGCCACTGCCAGGGTCACCTTTTCTGGGCTGAGGGACACCGTGACACCAGGAGAGCTGCTCGAAGCTGAGATCATCGACCAGGACCTGTATGAGCAGCTGGAACACGGGCAGGCCTCGGCCCAGGACGTGAGCAGCCTGGCCTCCGTGCAGAGGTACCTGCAGGGCACCGGCTGCATCGCTGGCCTGCTGCTGCCCGGCTCCCAGGAGCGCCTGAGCATCTATGAGGCCCGACGCAAGGGGCTCCTGCGACCCGGCACCGCCCTCATCCTCCTGGAGGCGCAGGCCGCCACCGGCTTCATCATCGACCCGAAAGAAAATAAGGCGCATTCTGTGGAGGAGGCGCTGAGGGCCGGTGTCATCGGGCCCGATGTGTACGCGAAGCTGCTGTCGGCCGAGCGCGCCGTCACCGGCTACACCGACCCCTACACCGGGCAGCCCATCTCCCTCTTCCAGGCCATGCAGAAGGGCCTCATTGTGCGGGAGCACGGCATCCGCCTGCTGGAGGCCCAGATCGCCACGGGCGGCGTCATCGACCCCGTGCACAGCCACCGCGTGCCCGTGGACGTGGCCTACCGGCGTGGCTACTTTGATCGGATGCTGAACATGATCCTGTTGGACCCCTCTGACGACACCAAGGGCTTCTTCGACCCCAACACACACGAGAATCTCACGTACCTGCAGCTGCTGGAGCGCTGCGTGGAGGACCCCGAGACGGGCCTGTACCTCCTGCCACTCGGCAGCACACAGTGCCCGCTGGTGGACGGTGCCACCCGGCAGGCCTTCCAGAACCTGCTGCTCTCCGTGAAGTACGGGCGGTTTCAGGGGCAGAGGGTCTCCGCGTGGGAGCTGATCAACTCTGAGTACTTCAGCGAGACCCGCAGGAGGCAGCTGCTGCATCGCTACCGGCGGCGTGAGGTCACGCTGGGGCAGGTGGCCCAGCTGCTGGAGGCTGAGACGCAGAGGCAGGCGGACGTCACACTGCCTGCACTGCGGGGCCGGGTCACTGCCCACCAGCTCCTGGAGGCGCGTATCATCGACCAGCAGCTGCTGGACCAAGTGCTGGCTGGGACGGTCAGCCCTGAGGCCCTCCTCCTCATGGATAGCGTCCGCAGGTACCTGTGCGGCCTGGGAGCTGTGGGCGGCGTGAGGCTGCTGCCCTCTGGCCAGCAGCTTAGCCTCTACCAGGCCATGAGGCGGAAGCTGCTGGGGCCCAGTGTGGCCCTGGCTCTGCTGGAGGCCCAGGCAGCCACCGGAGCCATCGTGGACCCTCATGGCCTGGAGAGCCTCTCAGTGGATGAGGCTGTGCGCAGGGGTGTGGTGGGGCCAGAGCTGTATGGCCGGCTGAAGCGGGCTGAGGGTGCCATCACTGGCTTCAGAGACCCCTTCTCTGGGAAGCAGGTGTCCCTGTTCCAGGCCATGAAGAAAGGTCTCATCCCTTGGGACCAAACTGCCCGCCTCCTGGAGGCTCAGGTGGCCACAGGAGGGGTCATCGACCCCACGGGCCACCACCGCCTCCCCATGCCAGTGGCCATTCAGCGTGGCTTTGTCGACCAGGAGATGGAGACGGCCTTGTCCAGCTCCTCCGAGACCTTCCCCACACCAGATGGCCAGGGGCACACCAGCTACGCCCGGCTCCTGGAGCAGTGCCCCAGGGATGAGACTTCTGGCTTTCACCTCCTGCCCTTGCCAGAGAGTGCTCCTGCCCTCCCTACTGAGGAGCAGGTCCAGAGAAGCCTGCAGGCCGTGCCGGGCAGCAAGGACGGCCCGTCCCTCTGGGACCTGCTCAGCTCCTGCCTCTTCACCGAGGAGCAGCGGAGAGCTCTGCTGGAGGACGTGCAGGAAGGGAGGACAGCTGTGCCAGAGCTGCTCGCCTCTGTGCAGGAGACCAAGCTCCGGGCCCAGGCCCACGTCACGGTGCCAGGCCCGCGGGGTGAGGTCCCTGCCGTCTGGCTGCGGGATGCTGCCATCATCACCCAGGAGACCCTTAAGGCCTTGGCTGAGGGCAAGCAGTCACCCACCCAGGTCGCTGAGCAGCCGGCGGTGAAGGCCTGCCTGTGGGGCACGGGCTGCGTGGCTGGTGTACTGCTGCAGCCCTCCGGGGCCAAGGCCAGCATCTCCCAGGCCACGAGGGATGGCCTACTGCCTGCAGGCCTGGGCCAGAGGCTGCTGGAAGCCCAGGTGGCGTCTGGCTCCCTTGTCGACCCCCTGACCAACCAGAGACTGTCAGTGGAGGATGCAATTAAGGTCGGCCTGGTGGGCAGGGAGCTGAGTGAGCAGCTGGGGCAGGCCGAGAGGGCAGTGGCCGGGTACCCGGATCCCTACTCTGGGGGCTCCCTCTCGCTGTGGCAGGCAATGGAGAAGGGGCTTGTGCCGCAGAAGGAGGGCTTCCCCCTCCTGCAGGTGCAGCTGGCCACGGGGGGCGTGGTGGACCCTGCCCATGGGGTGCACCTGCCCCAGGCGGCGGCCTGCAGACTTGGCCTTCTGGACACGCAGACAAGCCGAGCGCTGACTGCGGCTGACGAGGACAACAAGTTCTTCTTTGACCCCAGTGCAAAGGACCAGGTGACCTACCAGGAGCTCAGGGAGCGCTGCGTGCAGGACGCTGAGACCGGCCTGTTGCTGCTGCCCCTGCCCTCGGACACAGCGCTGGAGGTGGATGAGCACACTGCAGTGGCTCTGAGGGCCATGAAGGTGCCTGTCAGCACGGGGAGGCTTCAGGGCTGTAGCGTGTCACTCTGGGACCTGCTGCGCTCCGAGTACGTTGGCGCTGACAAGCGGCAGGAGCTGGTGGCACTCTGCCGGTCTGGGAGGGCTGCGGCCCTACGGCAGGTGGTCAGTGCAGTCACTGCCCTGGTGGAGGCAGCGGAGAGGCAGCCCCTGCAGGCCACTTTCAGAGGCCTCCGGAAGCAGGTGTCAGCCAGGGACCTGTTCAGGGCTCAGCTGATCAGCAAGAAGACGCTGGACGAGCTGAGCCAGGGGGCGACGACTGTGACGGAGGTGGCAGAGATGGACAGCGTGAGGCGGTCCCTGGAGGGCGGCAACTTCATTGCCGGGGTCCTTGTCCAGGGCACCCAGGAAAGGATGAGCATCCCAGAAGCCCTGAGGAGGCACATCCTGCGGCCTGGCACGGCCCTGGTGCTGCTGGAGGCGCAGGCGGCCACCGGCTTCATCATCGACCCCGTGGAGAACCAGAAGCTGACCGTGGAGGAGGCGTTCAAGGCAGGGATGTTCGGCAAAGAAACCTATGTGAAGCTGCTGTCGGCCGAGCGCGCCGTCACCGGCTACACCGACCCCTACACCGGGCAGCAGATCTCCCTCTTCCAGGCCATGCAGAAGGGCCTCATCGTGCGGGAGCACGGCATCCGCCTGCTGGAGGCCCAGATCGCCACGGGCGGCATCATCGACCCCGTGCACAGCCACCGCGTGCCCGTGGACGTGGCCTACCAGCGTGGCTACTTCGACGAGGAGATGAACCGCGTCCTGGCGGACCCCAGCGATGACACCAAGGGCTTCTTCGACCCCAACACGCACGAGAACCTCACGTACCTGCAGCTGCTGGAGCGCTGCGTGGAGGACCCCGAGACCGGCCTGTACCTGCTACAGATTGTGAAGAAGGGCGACACCTACGTGTACATCGATGAGGCCACAAGACACGTGCTGCTATCCAGAACTGCAAAAATGCGCGTGGGGAGGTTTGCTGACCAGGTGGTCTCTTTCTGGGACCTGTTGTCCTCTCCATACTTCACAGAGGACAGGAAGCGGGAGCTGATCCAGGCATATGGAACCCAGAGTGGGGGCCTGGAGAAGTTGCTGGAAATCATCACCACGACAATTGAAGAAACAGAGACGCAAAACCAAGGCATCAAGGTGGCGGCCATCAGAGGGGAGGTGACAGCTGCAGAGCTGTTCAACTCTGGGATCATCGATGAGAAGACCCTCCACATGCTTCGTGCAGGGAGGACTGGGGGGCAGGTGCTCAGCACACTGGAGTGCCTGAAGCCCTACCTAGAAGGCAGCGGCTGCATCGCAGGGGTGACGGTGCCCTCCACCACGGAGGTCGTGAGCCTCCATGAGGCCAGCAGGAAGGAGCTTATCCCTGTAGCATTTGCGACCTGGCTGCTGGAGGCGCAGGCCGCCACTGGTTTCCTTCTGGACCCCTGCACCCACCAGAGGTTCTCTGTAGATGAGGCCGTGGTTGTGGGCCTGGTGAGCGAGGAGCTACGTGAAAGGCTCCTGAAGGCCGAGAGGGCTGCCACGGGCTACAGGGATCCGGCCACGGGAGACACCATCCCGCTGTTCCAGGCCATGCAGAAGCAGCTCGTCGGGAAGGCAGAGGCGCTGAGGCTGCTGGAGGTGCAGGTGGCCACCGGGGGTGTCATCGACCCACGGCACCACCACCGGCTCCCATTGGAAACAGCCTACAGGCGGGGCTGTCTGCACAAGGACATGTATGCACTCATTTCTGACCAGAAGCACATGAGGAAACGGTTTGTGGACCCGAACACGCAGGAGAAGGTCTCGTACCAAGAGTTGCAGCACAGGTGCCACCGGCAAGAGGCCACTGGCTGGCTACTCTTCCCAGTGGCCAAGGACGCACGGGACTCCCAGTATGTTGACGACGAGACGCGAAGGGCCCTGGAGGCAGAGCAGGTGGAGATAACAGTGGGAAGGTTCAGAGGCCAGAAGCCCACACTGTGGACACTGCTGAATTCGGAATACGTGACGGAGGAGAAGAAGCTCCAGCTGGTGAGGATGTACAGACTGGATACGAGCCGGGCGCTGCAGAAGGTAGCACAGCTGATCTCAGACACGATTGAGGAGCAGGAAAAGGGCAGTAAACAACTGTGGTTCCAAGGGATTAGAGGACAAGTCACAGCCTCGGAACTCCTAAGTTCAGGCATCATCACAGAGGAAATGCTGCAGGACCTGGAAGCCGGGCGGAGCACGGTGCAGCAGCTCAGGAAGGACAAGCACGTCCAGCGCTACCTGGAGGGCACCAGCTGCATCGCGGGCGTCCTGGTGCCCACCAAGGACGAGCCGGGCCGCCAGGAGAAGATGAGCATCTACCAGGCCATGTGGAAGGGCGTGCTGCGGCCCGGCACGGCCCTGGTGCTGCTGGAGGCGCAGGCGGCCACCGGCTTCGTCATCGACCCCGTGCGCAACCTGAGGCTGTCCGTGGAGGAGGCCGTGGCTGCGGGCGTGGTGGGCGGCGAGATCCAGGAGAAGCTGCTGTCGGCCGAGCGCGCCGTCACCGGCTACACCGACCCCTACACCGGGCAGCAGATCTCCCTCTTCCAGGCCATGCAGAAGGACCTCATCGTGCGGGAGCACGGCATCCGCCTGCTGGAGGCCCAGATCGCCACGGGCGGCGTCATCGACCCCGTGCACAGCCACCGCGTGCCCGTGGACGTGGCCTACCGGCGCGGCTACTTCGATGAGGAGATGAACCGTGTCCTGGCGGACCCCAGCGACGACACCAAGGGCTTCTTCGACCCCAACACGCACGAGAACCTCACGTACGTGCAGCTGCTGCGCCGCTGTGTGCGTGACCCGGACACCGGGCTCTACATGCTGCAGCTGGCCGGCCGGGGCTCCGCCGTGCACCAGCTGAGCGAGGAGCTGCGCCGTGCCCTGCGTGACGCCCGCGTGACGCCGGGCTCGGGCGCCCTCCGGGGCCAGAGCGTCTCCGTCTGGGAGCTCCTCTTCTACCGCGAGGTGTCCGAGGGCCGGCGCCAGGACCTGCTGAGCAGGTACCGGGCGGGCACGCTGACCGTGGAGGAGCTGGGTGCCACCCTCATTTCGCTGCTGGCACAGGCCGAGGCTGAGGCCGGGGCCGGGCGCCGACATCCAGACCCCCGGGAGGCCCTGCGCGCGGCCACCATGGAGGTCAAGGTGGGCCGCCTCCGGGGACACGCGGTGCCCGTGTGGGATGTGCTGGCGTCCGGCTACGTGAGCGGGGCCACCCGGGAGGAGCTGCTGGCCCAGTTCGGCTCGGGGAGGCTGGCCTTGCCCGCGCTGACCCGCCGGCTGACCACCATCATCGAGGAGGCCGAGGAGATCCCGGGGGGCCGGCAGGAGCTCCAGGAGGCCTCGCGTGACCCTCGGGACCCGGGGCCAGCCGGGCAAGGGGACAGTGACTCGGGGCACTCCCCGGGTGAGGCCGAGGCCACCCACCACCAGGAGCGGATCCTGCGTGGCGCCACCATGGAGGTGCAGCACGGGCAGTTCCAGGGGCGGCCGGTCTCCGTGTGGGACGTCCTCTTCTCCTCGTACCTGAGCGAGGCCCGCCGAGACGAGCTCCTGGCCGAGCACGCGGCCAGCACCCTGGGCCTGCCCGACCTGGTCGCCGTCCTCACCCGGATCATCGAGGAGACCGAGGAGCGGCTCAGCAAAGTGTCCTTCCGTGGCCTGAGGCGCCAGGTGTCCGCCTCCGAGCTGCACAAGTCCGGGATCCTGGGCCCCGACACCCTGCGGGCCCTGGCCCAGGGCACTAAGACCCTGCAGGAGGTGACGGAGATGGACTCGGTCAAGCGCTACCTGGAGGGCAGCAGCTGCATCGCGGGCGTCCTGGTGCCCGCCAAGGACGAGCCGGGCCGCCAGGAGAAGATGAGCATCTACCAGGCCATGTGGAAGGGCGTGCTGCGGCCCGGCACGGCCCTGGTGCTGCTGGAGGCGCAGGCGGCCACCGGCTTCGTCATCGACCCCGTGCGCAACCTGAGGCTGTCCGTGGAGGAGGCCGTGGCTGCGGGCGTGGTGGGCGGCGAGATCCAGGAGAAGCTGCTGTCGGCCGAGCGCGCCGTCACCGGCTACACCGACCCCTACACCGGGCAGCAGATCTCCCTCTTCCAGGCCATGCAGAAGGACCTCATCGTGCGGGATCACGGCATCCGCCTGCTGGAGGCCCAGATCGCCACGGGCGGAGTCATCGACCCCGTGCACAGCCACCGCGTGCCCGTGGACGTGGCCTACCGGCGCGGCTACTTCGACGAGGAGATGAACCGTGTTCTGGCGGACCCCAGCGACGACACCAAGAGCTTCTTCGACCCCAACACGCACGAGAACCTCACGTACATGCAGCTGCTGCGCCGCTGTGTGCGTGACCCGGACACCGGGCTCTACATGCTGCAGCTGGCCGGCCGGGGCTCCGCCGTGCACCAGCTGAGCGAGGAGCTGCGCCGTGCCCTGCGTGACGCCCGCGTGACGCCGGGCTCGGGCGCCCTCCGGGGCCAGAGCGTCTCCGTCTGGGAGCTCCTCTTCTACCGCGAGGTGTCCGAGGGCCGGCGCCAGGACCTGCTGAGCAGGTACCGGGCGGGCACGCTGACCGTGGAGGAGCTGGGTGCCACCCTCATTTCGCTGCTGGCACAGGCCGAGGCTGAGGCCGGGGCCGGGCGCCGACATCCAGACCCCCGGGAGGCCCTGCGCGCGGCCACCATGGAGGTCAAGGTGGGCCGCCTCCGGGGACACGCGGTGCCCGTGTGGGACGTGCTGGCGTCCGGTTACGTGAGCAGAACCACCCGGGAGGAGCTGCTGGCCCAGTTCGGCTCGGGGAGGCTGGCCTTGCCCGCGCTGACCCGCCGGCTGACCACCATCATCGAGGAGGCCGAGGAGATCCCGGGGGGCCGGCAGGAGCTCCAGGAGGCCTCGCGTGACCCTCGGGACCCGGGGCCAGCCGGGCAAGGGGACAGTGACTCGGGGCACTCCCCGGGTGAGGCCGAGGCCACCCACCACCAGGAGCGGATCCTGCGTGGCACCACCATGGAGGTGCAGCACGGGCAGTTCCAGGGGCGGCCGGTCTCCGTGTGGGACGTCCTCTTCTCCTCGTACCTGAGCGAGGCCCGCCGAGACGAGCTCCTGGCCGAGCACGCGGCCAGCACCCTGGGCCTGCCCGACCTGGTCGCCGTCCTCACCCGGATCATCGAGGAGACCGAGGAGCGGCTCAGCAAAGTGTCCTTCCGTGGCCTGAGGCGCCAGGTGTCCGCCTCCGAGCTGCACAAGTCCGGGATCCTGGGCCCCGACACCCTGCGGGCCCTGGCCCAGGGCACTAAGACCCTGCAGGAGGTGACGGAGATGGACTCGGTCAAGCGCTACCTGGAGGGCAGCAGCTGCATCGCGGGCGTCCTGGTGCCCGCCAAGGACGAGCCGGGCCGCCAGGAGAAGATGAGCATCTACCAGGCCATGTGGAAGGGCGTGCTGCGGCCCGGCACGGCCCTGGTGCTGCTGGAGGCGCAGGCGGCCACCGGCTTCGTCATCGATCCCGTGCGCAACCTGAGGCTGTCCGTGGAGGAGGCCGTGGCCGCGGGCGTGGTGGGCGGCGAGATCCAGGAGAAGCTGCTGTCGGCCGAGCGCGCCGTCACCGGCTACACCGACCCCTACACCGGGCAGCAGATCTCCCTCTTCCAGGCCATGCAGAAGGACCTCATCGTGCGGGATCACGGCATCCGCCTGCTGGAGGCCCAGATCGCCACGGGCGGAGTCATCGACCCCGTGCACAGCCACCGCGTGCCCGTGGACGTGGCCTACCGGCGCGGCTACTTCGACGAGGAGATGAACCGTGTCCTGGCGGACCCCAGCGACGACACCAAGGGCTTCTTCGACCCCAACACGCACGAGAACCTCACGTACGTGCAGCTGCTGCGCCGCTGTGTGCGTGACCCGGACACCGGGCTCTACATGCTGCAGCTGGCCGGCCGGGGCTCCGCCGTGCACCAGCTGAGCGAGGAGCTGCGCCGTGCCCTGCGTGACGCCCGCGTGACGCCGGGCTCGGGCGCCCTCCGGGGCCAGAGCGTCTCCGTCTGGGAGCTCCTCTTCTACCGCGAGGTGTCCGAGGGCCGGCGCCAGGACCTGCTGAGCAGGTACCGGGCGGGCACGCTGACCGTGGAGGAGCTGGGTGCCACCCTCATTTCGCTGCTGGCACAGGCCGAGGCTGAGGCCGGGGCCGGGCGCCGACATCCAGACCCCCGGGAGGCCCTGCGCGCGGCCACCATGGAGGTCAAGGTGGGCCGCCTCCGGGGACACGCGGTGCCCGTGTGGGACGTGCTGGCGTCCGGCTACGTGAGCGGGGCCACCCGGGAGGAGCTGCTGGCCCAGTTCGGCTCGGGGAGGCTGGCCTTGCCCGCGCTGACCCGCCAACTGACCACCATCATCGAGGAGGCCGAGGAGATCCCGGGGGGCCGGCAGGAGCTCCAGGAGGCCTCGCGTGACCCTCGGGACCCGGGGCCAGCCGGGCAAGGGGACAGTGACTCGGGGCACTCCCCAGGTGAGGCCGAGGCCACCCACCACCAGGAGCGGATCCTGCGTGGCGCCACCATGGAGGTGCAGCACGGGCAGTTCCAGGGGCGGCCGGTCTCCGTGTGGGACGTCCTCTTCTCCTCGTACCTGAGCGAGGCCCGCCGAGACGAGCTCCTGGCCCAGCACGCGGCCGGCACCCTGGGCCTGCCCGACCTGGTCGCCGTCCTCACCCGGATCATCGAGGAGACCGAGGAGCGGCTCAGCAAAGTGTCCTTCCGCGGCCTGAGGCGCCAGGTGTCCGCCTCCGAGCTGCACAAGTCCGGGATCCTGGGCCCCGACACCCTGCGGGCCCTGGCCCAGGGCACCAAGACCCTGCAGGAGGTGACGGAGATGGACTCGGTCAAGCGTTACCTTGAGGGCACCAGCTGCATCGCGGGGGTCCTGGTGCCCGCCAAGGACGAGCTGGGCCGCCAGGAGAAGATGAGCATCTACCAGGCCATGTGGAAGGGCGTGCTGCGGCCCGGCACGGCCCTGGTGCTGCTGGAGGCGCAGGCGGCCACCGGCTTCGTCATCGACCCCGTGCGCAACCTGAGGCTGTCCGTGGAGGAGGCCGTGGCTGCGGGCGTGGTGGGCGGCGAGATCCAGGAGAAGCTGCTGTCGGCCGAGCGCGCCGTCACCGGCTACACCGACCCCTACACCGGGCAGCAGATCTCCCTCTTCCAGGCCATGCAGAAGGACCTCATCGTGCGGGATCACGGCATCCGCCTGCTGGAGGCCCAGATCGCCACGGGCGGAGTCATCGACCCCGTGCACAGCCACCGCGTGCCCGTGGACGTGGCCTACCGGCGCGGCTACTTCGACGAGGAGATGAACCGTGTCCTGGCGGACCCCAGTGACGACACCAAGGGCTTCTTCGACCCCAACACGCACGAGAACCTCACGTACCTGCAATTGCTGCAGAGGGCAACTCTCGACCCTGAGACCGGGCTCCTATTTCTTTCTGTCTCTCTGCAGTGACTGTGGTCCCCTTATGAATATTCTGCAACTCTCGAGAAGATGAGGCCTAATTCTGGTTTTGTGTGTGTTCATATTCTTTCATTTTGATGTTTTACCCATCAGCTACCTGTGGAAAGTGTTTCAAGTTATCATGTATTGTCAGTGGAATTTGTCTTCCTGTGAACATCTTTCATAATTGATTTCGTGGTTTTTCTGTGGCCCTCTTGCTTTCAGATGGTTTCACTTTTCACGACTTTTTTTTTTTTCCCCAGAGCATTTTGGTGTCTGTTTTGGATTCACTTGCTGCCTTTTTAAGCAAGGTCACTGTAGACTCTCAGTCCATCATGTCAACCAGCAGCGCTTTGTCGCCGTGTAATTTTCATTAAATGCACTGATTTCCCTGATGTTGCGCCATTCATATTCATCGTGAAACCCATTTTTCATCAGCCCACGTCTCCTACTTCGTGCTCTGGCTCAGTTTGCTTCCTCCAGTGCCTTCCTGCTCCCTGCTGTGCTGGCCAAGAGCAGGGGCTGGATTCCATCTCCTGGCTGCTGCTTCACCTTATAGTGTGACCTCACCAGCGTTTACCGAGCGACTCTGCTGTGGAGAAATACCTGTGGTGACAGTTTACAAAGAAAAGTGCTGGACGAGTAAAATATGAATGAAACTCTTTTTTTTGATTTCAGGTTTTTGAAGGTTCAATCACCAATGTTTATACCCTGAATACAGAGATAGATAGTAGATTAAACAAGTGAAGGAAGCCATCCAAACCCCAGGGTTCCTAGAGCCCTATCTCAGAATCGTATCCTAGGCTGCAGTGAAGTCATGCTCAGAGATTCCCGGGAGAGCGTGAACTCCCGTTGTTAACAGAAGAGTGGCAGTTGGAGCAGGTGACAAAGAAGCTGCACCAGTCCCCCTTCATTCACTCCACACATGGGTTGCCTGCGGCATCTGGGCGGCTCGCTCTCCAACGGTAGCAGCGAGAACCCAGGTGTGCTGCCCAGTGGCTGTGTGTGGCTGGCTTCCTGGGGGCCTGTGGGCTGGGCGTGGGCACCACAGAGGACAGTCCCTGTGCTGGGCTGGCTGGACCAAGGGCAGACTGTGAGGACAGGGCTTGGACATTCTGGATGAAGAGCCAGTGGCCTCAGGGCAGAAATGACATCTGGGTAACTCATCAAAATGTGCCTTCCAGGCTCTGGAGAAAATCCCTGCCAGGGTCTGGAGGTGGGCCTGAGGGGACAGGGGGCCAGCAAGGAAACAGAAACGGTAGTGAGGTTCACATGTGCTAACGTTCACAGATGTCAAAGTCGTCACTCGGCACAAGCCACTTAACAGCTCTGAGCCAAATTTCATCGCCGTGCAACCAGTGGTGAAGGCTGGGATGGGGGATGCAGTCAGGGTGCCAGCCTGGACTTGGGGGCCAGGGAGAACCCTGAAAAACAGGTATGGGAAAGGCCTCGGCAGGGCGCTGTCACACACGTTCCTCCTGTTGTTCTTGAGCAGGCCCTGCATGTGTGCCGGGTGCCGGTGCTGCCCGAGTCCTCACTGTGCGCTTTACGGCAATGCGCGGCAGGGAATACACACCTGATCGGTGTTTATGAGCTCCACGTTTTCTAGCCTTTGACTTTTACCTTATCTTTGTCATTATATTTGAAGTGAGTCTCTTACACACAGCATATTAATGGGTGGGGGCTATCTTTATCCAATTTCACAATCTCTATGTTTGGATTGGTATATTTACACCATTACATTCTATATGACTATTTATGCATTTAGACTTTTTTTTTTTTTTGAGACGGAGTTTCGCTCTTGTTACCCAGGCTGGAGTGCAATGGTGCGATCTCGGCTCACCGCAACCTCCACTTCCTGGGTTCAGGCAATTCTCCTGCCTCAGCCTCCCGAGTAGCTGGGATTACAGGCACGCGCCACCATGCCCAGCTAATTTTTTTTTGTATTTTTAGTGGATACAGGGTTTCACCATGCTGACCAGGATGGTCTCGATCTCTTGACCTCATGATCCACCCGCCTCTGCCTCCCAAAGTGCTGGGATTACAGGCTTGAGCCACCGCTCCCGGCCTTTTTTTTTTTTTTTTTTTTTTTTTTTTTGAGCTGGAGTCTTGCTCTGTGGCCCAAGCTGGAGTGCAGTGGCATGATCTCAGCTCAACACAACCTCAGTCTCCGGGGTTCAAGCGATTTTTCTGCCTCAGCCTCCTGAGCAGTTGGGACTAGAGAGGTGCACCATCATGCCCCGCTAATTTTTGCATTTTTAGTTGAGACGGGATTTCACCATATTGGCCAGGCCATCTCAACCTCCTGACTTTGTGACCCACCAGCCTCGGCCTCCCGAAGTGCTGGGACCACAGGCGTGAGCCACCGCGCCCGGCTGTACTTAGGATTTTTTTTTATAGTCTTCTCGGAGTCCCTGCCCTGCGCTCTCATTTGAGGTGAGGTTTCTTTCTCCACATGCCCCCCTCCCCGCCCCCGCTGTCTTTGTCATATTACCACATCTACATGCATTGAAAATCCTGCCTGGTAGTCTACGTGGCAGTTTTGCTTTTAACAGTAGAGACGTGTTTTTTCTTTTTGGAGACAGAGTCTTGTTCTGCTGCCCAGGCTGGAATGCAGTGGTACGATCTTGGCTCACTGCAACCTCCACCTCCTGGGTTCAAGTGATTTTTGTGCCTTAGCCTGCCAAGCAGCAGGGACTACAGGTGTGCACCACCATACCCAGCTAAGTTTTTTGTATTTTAGTCTCTACTCAACGGTGTTTCATCATGTTTCCCATGCTGGCCTGGGACTCCTGAGCTCAGGCAATCTCCCCACCTTGGCTTCCCAAAGTGCTAGGATTATAGGCGTGAACCACCACACCAGGCCTCAACAGTAATAGATATTTTTAATGATTTTTTAAAAACAGGCCAGGCGCGGTGGCTCACGCCTGTAATTCCAGCACTATCGGACCCTGAGGTGGGTGGATCATCTGAAGTCAGAAGTTCAAGATCAGCCTGGCCAACATGGCGAAACCACGTCTCTAAAAATACAAAGATTACCTGGACATGATGGTAGGTGCCTGTGATCCCAGCTACTCAGGAGGCTGAGGCAGGAGAATCTGGCCTGAACCCGGGAGGCAGAGGTTGCAGTGAACTGAGATCGAGCCACCGCATTCCAGCCTGGATGACAGAGCAAGACTCTGTCTCAAAAAAAAAAAAGTGAAAACAGCATATTATGCTTCTCTAAATATATGCCATTTCTGCTGCTCTTCCTGCATTCCTGAAGTTCCAGTTCCCTCTAGTATCATTCCCTTCAGGCTACATACCGTTCTTGAGCATTTTCTTTTAAAGTCGGCAGGTCAAGCCCTTTGGGAGGCCAAGACAGGCAGATCACTTTAGGTCAGGAGTTTGAGACCAGTGTGTCCAACATGGTGGAACCCTGTCTCTACTAAAAATACAAAAATTAGCTGGACATGGTGGTACTGCTAATCACGGCTGCTTGGGAGGCTGAGGTGGGAGGATCACTGGAATTCAAGAGGCGGAGGTTGCAGTGAGCTGAGATCGCACCACGCACTCCAGCCTGAGCAATGGAGTAAGTCTCCATCTCAAAACAAAGTCTGCTGCTGAGGAATTTTACACATATAAATACATACACTATTTTATTTTACCCTATCTAGAGTTGGTCAAACTTCTTGAATTTCATAAGTTTATATCTGTCTCTAAATTGAGGAACTTTTCTGCCATTATCTATGGGGCAGGTGGGGACAGGAGACGCACGCTCCGGGGACTCCCTCAGTCACCAGGCTCCAGGTACTTATGCCTCGGGGTTAGAACCAGGATACATTTGGAGACCCCCGGGTTCCCCTGAAAACATTTCTCTCTAGTCTCTAAGGATAAAGGATGCTCCTGTGGGGGGCAGATGGCAAGCCCTGGGGTTGAACCCCTGCCTCAATGCTCCCACTGCGCCTTCGTGACTGCGGGCTCTTCCACGAGTGACTTCACGTCTCAGTGCCTCAGTCTCCCTTTTTGTAAAGTGGTCATCATAATAACACCTAACTCGCATAGCAGTTGTGAGCACTTGGAAGTGTTCAAAAACCATCCACAAGAATGACGGAGCGGAGTAGCACAGCGTTGCTTTTGTTATTTTTAACATTTGTGTGGCTTTTTCTTCCTATCTGAAAATGAGATTTTCTCCCCAGTCAGCCCAAGTCACCCTTCTAGTGGTAAGGAAATTAGGATGATTATAGAAAGAATCCAAAAGAAAAACTAGTTAATATTCAGATTCAGATTTTTCTCCTTTTTTTTTTTTTTCTTTTTTAAGACAGGGTCTCACTCTGTCACCCAGGGTGGAGTGCAGTGGTGCGACAGCTCACTGCAGCCTTGAACTCCTGGGCTCAAGCAATCCTCCCACCTCAGCCTTGTGAGTAGCTGGAACTACAGGTGTGTGCCACTATGCCCAGCTGATTTTTTAAGGACCAGAAAGTCAAAGACAAATGCCCAGCAGGTTTTTGTAGAGATGGGGTTTCACCATGTTGCCTAGGCTGGTCTTGAACTTCTGGGCTCCAGCAATCCACCCGCCTCAGCCTCCCGAAGTACTGGAATTACAGACATGAGCCACCACACATAGCCTATATTCTAATTTATAATCAAAGTAGACTTTCCAGCAACAAAATAGGCTTGAAAGACAGGTTTGTAATGCAGTGGGTGATGGGCTGGTAATGAGGTTTGAGATGGAGTTTGTGATAGGATTGGTGATGGGGTTCATAATGGTTGGTGACAGGGTTCACAGTGAGGCTGGTGATGGGTTAGTGATGAAGCTGGTGATGAGGTTGGTGATGGGGTTGGCGATGGGTTGGTGACGGGGTTTGTGATGAAGTTTCTGACGGGGTTCATGTTGGGGTTTGTGATGAAGTTTCTGACGGGGTTCATGCTGGGGTTTGTGATGAAGTTTCTGACGGGGTTCATGCTGGGATTTGTGATGAAGTTTCTGACGGGGTTCATGCTGGGGTTTGTGATGAAGTTTCTGATGGGGTTCATGATGGGATTGGTGATGGGGTTGGTGATGGGGTTCCCCGTGCAGTTTTTGATGAGGTTGGCCATGGGGTTGGTGATGGGATCTCTGCTTCCGTTGTTCTATGTGGGTGTGACTCTTCTCCAGTGCCTTCACAACCCTTCACGCCTTCTACCCTGGAGACAGTGAGAAGAAAAGGTGGAGACCGAGGAGGTGGACGCCTGGGTTTTCTTTTCTTGACTCCTTCCAGTGCTGGTGGGGGTTATTTCAAAGACATCCTGACAGGCTGGACGTGATGGCTAATACCTGTAATCCCAGCACTTTGGGAGGCTGGGGTGGGTAGATCACTTGAGCTCAGGAGTTCGAGACCAGCCAAATCAACAGGGTGAAACACTGTCTCTACTAAAAAAAAAAAAAAAATAGCCAGGTGTAGTGGCAGGCGCCTGTAATCCCAGCTACTCAAGAGGCTGAGGCAGGAGAATCACTTGAACACAGGAAACAGAGGTTGTACTGGGCTGAGATCACACCACTACACTCCAGCCTGGGTGACAAGAACAAAACTCGGTCTCAAAAAAACAAAAAATACAAAAAAACAAAGACATCCTGACAGGTGGGCAGACGCTAAGGGCAGAGCACCGCCGTGCTGACAGAAGGCGCGCCTGTGGTTGAGCGGTAGGAGTAGCACCATCAGAGTGCAATGAGACCCTCATGCTTCCCAGGTAGTGCAGAGGCTGAGGTTGGTGCTTACACTTATGCTGTGGGGCCCACAGTGAGGACAGGTAGCCTCGCAGCAGACATGTGGGCAACAGCCCGCGCCAGGGCAACAACTCAGAGTCAGAATGCACGCTAAGCTGTGCCAGCCCGGGGCACTGATGGTGAGTCACATCGGCCCCAACTTCAACCACAATGGCCCATGGATACAGCTCTACAATCCAGACAGAGAGGGAGCTGGTGCCTCTGGGACGTCACCAACCAGGATCTACCAAAGGTGGGAAACTCAAAAGACCCTCCTACTTTACAAAAGCTCCTGAGGGGGCACAACCTAAGGGTCAACCAGCCCTGCACAGACTTCTGCCTACTAGGGTGGTCTGAAGATTTTAAGGCCTTGAGTTTGGGATAAGGCAGCTTCAGGACAGCAACACCCTAGACGTTGTCACAGATGCTCTGGGGCATTTGGGGGTCCTCGCTGATCTCCACTCATAGGAGATGTGGCCCCCAGAGTCCAGATGCCCTTCTCCAGTTCTTCAGTGTCCTGTCTCTTCACTTCTTGGATCCCCTACCTCGGCACAGCATAAGGGACACCCCACGACCCTGTGTGGCCCCAACAGCCCTACACATCACGTGGTGCCTTCAGCTTATTCCTATAAATACTTCTCAAAATGGTGTCTAGCACACAACCAAAGAAACCAGAGCACATCAGGAATGAAGACTCCATGGGGAAGAACCCACAGAAATGAGAGAGCAAGCCCACAAAGATCATGCAATAGCCATGGTCAACCGTGAACAGCAATCGCTAAAGCTAAGAATCCAACGGGCAGATTTAACCCGCATATCCGACAAGTCAGGCAGGGAGCAGGTGAAATGGAAGACAGAATAGAAGGCATTTTGGAGAACAAAGCCCATGAAGATAAAATCGGGGAAGAGCAGGAGGGGAGCTAAGGGGCAAAGAGAGGAGTCAGATGGTGTAACATACCTCAGATGGAGACCCTGAAGCTCAGAAGATAGAGAATGGGGCAGAGGAAACGCTGGAGAGGATAAAGGCTTAGAATTTTCCAGATCAAAGACATTAACGTCTGAATCAATGT